TAAAAATAAAAAAAAAAATAATTCTGATTCTGATAAATTAATGTACATCATTGTGTACGCGCGTCTTGTGTCTGACGCATTGCGAGAATGAACGTGCATATATATGTACTTGTGTGCACGAGCGTGACATGCATTGCAGACCGCAAGTTAACCGCAAGTTTACCTTGACTTTCTAATGCTTCTAATGCCTTTTTTGCCGAGGTTCAAGGCATTGGCTACAGACAAACAGTGCCATTTCTCCCACTAGTTCAAGCCATCATACTGTATGTATGTATTGAATGTGTGTGTGTATATTACAGGGGCGCCGTTTGCCGACCCAAAAGAAGGTAGATTAAGAAGGTCCACAGCAACGACAACATGAAACATCCTTTAATTTACTGCAACGACATGTCGGGAAAACCCCTCAAGGGGGCCCCATGCATAGAGCGCCGTAAGAATTTCAGTTTTGTTGCTCCGCTCCGGGGGGGGGGGGGGGGGGGGGGGGGGGGGGTGACTTTACCGATCCGGACCAGGGACCTTGTATAAAGTTCACAAGTGGACCTTTAATAAAAAAGTTTGAGTACCCCTGCTATATATGAATGATATGTTATAGGAGCAAATAATTCAGGGAAGAAAGGCTACTAAGTATTTTCATCAAACTTTATTTTTAGAAATGTACAAAATGAACATGTGTAAATATACATATTTACACTGTATATCATCCATTCCTCCCCTTATAGGCGTTTTCGGCATCTTGCCTATCGCAGCTTTGTAAACTGGTGCTGGGGCTTTTTAGGACGAGGCATCAGAGTGGGTCATCCCGTGTGTGTGTTGTCCGCCAGATACGCCAGGAGTTTCCTGATCTGGCTGGACGAAATCAAAACTACATTAACTCCTAAGATGTTCCCTTACTATAATTAATTAAAATATTGAACTCACAACACTGGTAATTACAAACTTAACCATTTCTCTTTCTTGCTTTAGAGGCCTTACGAATAATGGACGTCCACTCTCGGGAGATGTACATTAGTGGTGCGGTTACCCTAAGTGACAGACTTAAAGTATCTGAAAATAGTGCCTCATAATGCGGCTCACAGACCCCCAAAGGACGGCCTAGAGACCTCCAAGAGGTGTCCCTGAAATGGGGACTTAGTTTATTTCACACTTCCAGGAGAGACAACGGGAAAATCACCTCTCTTTGGCGGCTCACAGACCCCCAAAGGACGGCCTAGAGACCTCCAAGAGGTGTCCCTGAAATGGGGACTTAGTTTATCTCACACTTCCAGGAGAGACAACGGGAAAATCATCTCTCTTTGGCGGCTCACAGACCCCCAAAGAACGGACTAGAGACCTCCAGCATGTCTCCATAACAGTGGCACCTCCATAACCTTGCACACCGTGAGTCCCCGGGCCCCCGCAGTTAAGCACTCCCCCACGAACTAAACCCAGGTATTCACACCCACCAGAACCTCGTGCCCCTGGTGACCCTAAAGGGGGGTGGATTTTGTGGTGCTTTTATGTCCGCCCATCAGCATCCATATTCGTCCTTCTTCACGGGACCACCACCCCTTCTGTGGAGGGTATTCTCATACCCCTGGTAACCTTAATGCTGCCCGCCCCTCAGCATCCAAATTCGGCCTTCTTATTGGCACCACCACCCCCCTTCTGGGCTGGAGGTTCAAACACTTTAACTTTTTTTCACCCTCCTCTGGCTTACACCTCCTCCGCCAACACTTGAGCGCTCATCACAGGGTTCAGCACCAAGGAGAGTGCCTCCCCGGTGCTGATGGAAAGTGGCACTTTATCTGCCCCTGGGAACCTTCAAGGTTATATTTAATATTTATTTAATTATAACAATGTTTTTATTTTAACAAAAACAGTATACACGGTATAAATATTCACAATGTTTAGCGGGGGCCCGGGGACCATATTAGGGGTCTAATTCGTATGGTGCACCAGGGCAAACAGGTTGAGTCCACGGCCCCTGCCCCCTCCTCAGGAGTGTCAACCGGCCCCAGTCCCGACTTCATTGGCCTCTTTCCCTCCCGCTTCCGCTTCCGCTGCTGCTGCCGCTCCAATGACCCATCAGGTTGCTCGTGCTCTGAAGAAGAGGTATCGTTGGGGTCTTGCCTGCTGCTCTCAGCCCCGGAGCCCTCTTCGGAGGTATCCCCATCTGACAGCGGTAGACATCCTTCTGATGCTGATGCAGCTGCTGCCGCAACCGATGAGTGTGGTTTCACTTGTCTCACACACACCCAGGGGGAAAAGATAACACATTTACCCAGGAATAAGTGTGCAAAACATGTGTACATTAGTGTTTAAAGTCGGGGGAACTGTTTTAATTCAGGACCAGGGTGAAAAGATAACACATTTACCCAGGAATAAGTGTCTGAATCATGGGTACATTAGTGTTTAAAGTCGTGGGAAATGTTTTAATTCAGGAGGTTTTAAGTGTGGCTTCACTTGTAGCACACACCCAGGGGGAAAAGATAACATATTTACCCAGGAATAAGTGTTGCAAACGTGGGCAAAAGTGGTGTAGATAGAGACAGAGTGTACCGAGAGAGCAGGCTGTGCAACACCTGACTTTTGAAGGCAGGAATAAGTGTTTGAAAGGCGGGGAAAAGTTGTTTGAAATAGTCTGATACCTCCAGGGTGCATCACCGCACTTTACAAGCCAGGGAAGGTGCCTGAATCCTGGGTATACATTTTGTAAATAGTCTGATACATCCAGGATGCATCACCGCACTTTACAAGCCAGGGAAGGTGCCTGAATCCTGGGTATACATTTTGTAACAACAACAGACTGGCAAAAGATCTCCAACAACAGACTGGTAGAAGATCTCCAACATCAGACTGTTAGAAGATCTCCAACAACAGACTGGTAGAAGATCTACAACATCAGACTGGTAGAAGATCTCCAACAACAGACTGGTAGAAGATCTCCAACAACAGACTGGTAGCAGATCTCCAACAACAGACTGGTAGAAGATCTCCAACAACAGACTGGTAGAAGATCTCCAACAACAGACTGGTAGAAGATCTCCAACAACAGACTGGTAGCAGATCTCCAACAACAGACTGGTAGCAGATCTACAACATCAGACTGGTAGAAGATCTCCAACAACAGACTGGCAAAAGATCTCCAACAACAGACTGGTAGCAGATCTCCAACAACAGACTGGTATAAGATCTCCAACATCAGACTGTTAGAAGATCTCCAACAACAGACTGGTAGAAGATCTCCAACAACAGACTGGCAAAAGATCTCCAACAACAGACTGGTAGAAGATCTCCAACAACAGACTGGCAAAAGATCTCCAACAACAGACTGGTAGCAGATCACCAACAACAGACTGGTAGAAGATCTCCAACAACAGACTGTTAGCAGATCTCCAACAACAGACTGGTAGAACATCTCCAACAACAGACTGGTAGCCGATCTCCAACATCTTGCTGCAGCGATCCCGTAGGATTCTAGTACCTAAGTGTCAGTGTGGCAGTCGTGCAATCTTAAATGTCTCTCTGGATCTGAGTTCCTGGCTGGTTCTGGTCCTCCACAGTCCTCTCCATCAGCTTCTGTTTCCATCTGTTCAGCTGAGATGCTGGCTGGAGGTTCTGCCTCTCTGTTCTCTTCAGTCTGAGTTTGATGAAGCTGTGAGGACTGACGACCAACGGCTTTTGAGCTGATAGCTCTGTGTGAATCTTTTTTCACAAACACTGCAGCTGAATGGTTTCTCTCCGGTGTGGTTTGTCATGTGTCGTTGTAAAGTTGCTTTCAGGGCAAAAGCTTTCTCACAGACTGAACAGCTGAAGCGTTTCTCTCCTGTGTGGACTATCATGTGTTCCTTTAAATATCCTCTCTGTGCAAAAGATTTCTTACAGACTGAGCAACTGAATAGTTTCTCTGCTGTGTGGATTCTCATGTGTCGTTGTAAAGGTTCTTTCAGGGCAAAAGCTTTCTCACAGACTGTGCAGCTAAATGGTTTCTCTCCTGTGTGTATTCTCAAATGTCTATGGAAACTTGTTCTCGTTGGAAAGGATTTTTTACAGACTGAGCAGCTGAATGGTTTCTCTCCTGTATGGATTTTCATATGTTCCTTTAAATGTCCCCTCTGTTTAAAAGACTTATCACAGACTGAGCAGCTGAATGGTTTCTCTCCTGCACTACGTCTTGAATCACTGACAGGGTCTTGTTTATTTTTCTGAGAGTTTGAACGTGGTTCTCTGGGCTCCTTCGAATCTCCAATGTCTTCAGTGTCAGGTTCAGAAGAGTCTCCAGGGTCGTCCTCAGTCTCTGGTTGTAAATGTCTCTCTGGATCTGAGTTCCTGGCTGGTTCTGGTCCTCCACAGTCCTCTCCATCAGCTTCTGTTTCTACATCTTCTGTTTGAAGAGGCTGTGAGGACTTACCCTCACATTCATGGTATTTCAGCGTAAATTGCGAAGGGAACATTCTGTTACAATATCTGCAGCATAATTTCGGCCTTTTGTGGACTTCCATATGTTTAGTCAGAGATCTTCTCCATGCAAATTCTTTACCACAAAGTGAGCAACTAAACTGGGTTTGTCTCGTGTGGATCCTCATGTGTTGTACTAAAGCCTCGCTGTCACTGAAACCTGAGTTACACACAGAGCAGCAGAAAGGTTTCTCCCCAAACTGACCAGGCATGTGAGAACTTTCAAGATTGGAAAAAGCGATACCACAAAGTGAGCCATCATTCGGTTTCAGACTTTTCTGAAATCTGCTGGTAACCGGCAGCTGGTGCTTTCGGTCTATTACTGTTCCACACAGAGCTGTCGAACAGTGGGTTAGAAGTGTGACAATGAGAGGGCTCGCCGACACACTCGTGGTTCAAGAGCTGCGAATCCAGCAGGAAACTTTTCTCACAGACTGCACAACTGGGTGGTTTCTCCTCTGTGTGGACACATATGTGCCTGGTCAGATTTCCTTCTGTTGCAAACCATTTACCACAACATGAGCAACTGAATGGTTTCTCTCTTGTGGGAGATGTTTTGTGCGTCAGCTGACTGTCCTCATATTGATCTTTACGCTCTGAGGGACTGAATGGATTCTCGCTGATGGAAACGTCCTCAGTTTCCAAATGGTTTGGACCTGAATGAGGTTGCCTGGTCTGTGTGGAAAAACAAACACCATCACCAGTCCTGGGATCTGTTTGAACCTGGTCATCAGAGCAGCTGACTGGTGTCTTACTGGTCATATATCCTTTACTTATAGATACTTTTTTATTTCTTCGATAAGTGAACCCAGACTGATGCTGCCTGGTATCTTTCCAAAACTCAATGTCAACATTGTCATCAGGTTCTAGAGATGGTTCGCCACCTTTATCAGTCTCTGGTTGTAAATGTCTCTCTGGATCTGAGTTCCTGGCTGGTTCTGGTCCTCCACATTCCTCTCCATCAGCTTCTGTTTCCATATGTTCATGTTGTCTTTGATGAAGCTGTGAGGACTGACGACCAACACACTTATGATTTGTGACCGAACGACTCCAAGTAAATCTTAAGTCACAAACACTGCAGCTGAATGGTTTCTCTCGTGTGTGGACTCTCATGTGTAATTTTAAATTTCCTCTCTGTGCAAAAGATTTCATACAAATTGAGCAGCTGAATGGTTTCTCTCCTGTGTGGATTCTCATGTGTCTGTTTAAAAATCCTCTTACTGCAAAAGATTTCATACAAATTGAGCAGCTGAATGTTTTATTTTCTGTGTGGATTCTCATGTGTACTTTTAAACTTCCTCTCTGTGCAAAAGATTTCATACAAATTGAGCAGCTGAATGTTTTATTTTCTGTGTGGATTCTCATGTGTACTTTTAAACTTCCTCTCTGTGCAAAAGATTTCATACAAATTGAGCAGCCAAATGGTTTCTCTCCTGTGTGGATTCTCATGTGTTCCTTTAAACTTCCTCCCTGTTTAAAAGATTTCATACAAATCGAGCAGCTGAATGGTTTCTCTCCTGTGTGGATTCTCATGTGTCTCTTTAAATTTCCTCTCTGTTTAAAAGATTTCTTACAAATTGAGCAGATGAATGTTTTCTCTCCTGCACTACGTGTTGAATCACTGACAGAGTCTTGTTTATTTCTCTGAGACTTTGAACCTGGTTCTCTGGTCTCCTTCCAATCAGCACTGTCTTCAGTGTCTTCAGAAGAGTCTCCAGGGTTGTCCTCAGTCTCTGGTGGTAAATGTCTCTCTGGATCTGAGTTCCTGGCTTGTTCTGGTCCTCCACAGTCCTCTCCATCAGCTTCTGTTTCCAGGTGTTCAGTTTGTCTTTGATGAAGCTGAGAGGACTGAGGTTTCTCTTCATCATCTTCACTCTTCACAGGGACAGGAGTGAATGTGGACTTGTTGTTATCAGCCTCCTCCAGCCCTTGAAGCTGCTCTCCCTCCTGACTGCTCCAGAGTTCCTCCTGTTCCTCTTTAATGTGTGGGGGGGGATCTGGGTCCTCCTGGTCCAGACTGGAGCTCCACTCCTGCTGCTCAGGGGGAACCTCTTCTTTAACCACCACCAGCTGCTGGACGTCTGCAGGAAACAGGAAACACACACAGAGACGTTACAGAGAACAGCTGTTGTGTTCATTACATCACTGCTCAAAGCCCCGTTTTGAACCCCTTGTTTGTATATTCCTAATTAATATCATAAATACCTATGGCTAATATCTTTTTACATTTATGCACCAACAACTATCGCAGAGAAAGGTATTCGTGTCCATTTTGATTAAATCCCTAAAAGTATGTGACCTCCTAGAATTTAACAAAAACTAATTGAGTCAGGAGTTAAAACACTTTGTTTTAATCGGTGAAACACGATAAGAAGTGCTGCTCCAGCGTTAACTTATAAAAATCCTTCAAACATTTGTATTTTCTATTCACAAGTTTTAACTTCTGATGTGAACCATGCCTCGCAAAAAAAAGATATCGGAAGACCTACGAGGAAGACATTTAGATTTCACCAAAAGTTAGGGATGCACCGATAGGAGTACGAGTACATGAGGACAGCATCGGCCTGATACCCGTTAATGGGATCGGTATCGTTGCATCCCTAATAAAACACAGAGGGTTACAAATTAATATCAAAGAGTTGAGATATTGATGAAGATGCAGGTTATGTATAATGGGTTACAGGGTTAACCCTTGGTTGTGCAGCCTGATGGCTACAGGCACAAAAGATTGTCCGAGAAGCTTAGTGCTGTGCCGAGGTTGCTCTCAAAGTGCACCAGATTGATGCTTTGAACTTCAACATTTAAAAAAACAATCTTCCCAGGGGGGGCATGTCCCCAGACCCCCCTAGAGGAGGTGAGGTCCACCCCCCACTTAAATCATGTTCACATGGATAGGATACTAAATACATTTTCATGCGTGTGCGTGCATGAAAATGTATTGTAAGTGCATATATTCTTGCCTGGTTTGGTTCTTGGTGGGTTAATGTTCATAATGCAAAGCCGCGAGGTGCGGCCGCACCAGGCGACGCTCCCTCACCTTGCATAATGAACAATGTAACGCCCAGTTGATGCAGGGCCAATGTATGCAGTGTTCTTTATATTATAGTCGTTATATAGATTTCATTGTGTGCCTTCCTGTATATTGTTCATGTGTGATTGTTTATAATAGTTCATTACTTAATTGTAATAACCTGTCATTCCTCTCTCCTCTACATCAGTGTACCCTCGGTTACGGCTCCTCCAGAGAGACTCCTCTCTCCTCTCTCCTCTCTCCTCTCTCCTCTCTCCTCTCTCCTCTCTCCTCCAAATCAGTGTATCCTCGGTTACAGCTCCTCCAGAAGGAGCCTCCTCTCTCCTCTCTCCTCTCTCCTCTCTCTCCTCTCTCCTCTCTCCTCTCTCCTCTCATCCTCTCTCCGTCTCTCCTCTCTCCTCTCTATCCGTCTCACCCTCCTCTCTCCTCTCTCTCCTCTCTTCCTCGTCATCCTCTAAATCAAGTGTATCCTCGGTTACGGCTCCTCCAGACAGCCTCCTTGATAATCGATCCTCGACGAGCCTTTAGAGAAATTTGTTTTCCTTCGAGACGGCGCGCCGACATCCGTTTCCGGGTCTTTGCCGGAGGACCTGGGACGCGAAAATTATAGAAATGACAGATGGCTCATTTCCGAGGTCTCGCGCGCGTCTGCGTGACGCCGGGATGACCGGACCAGCCCTCCCCGACAGGAGCGCACGGACCGAGGGCCCGCTCGTCACTGCGCGCACTTTCTGTTTAATTAGGGTCTGAGACCTAGGTCGCGCGAAGACCCTATTGAAATCGGTCGCGCAGCGACCGATAAACCTTTGACCCCCGCAACATATGTGAAAACTCACCAAATTGTGCACGCGCGTCAGAAGTGGTGCAACTTCAGATGTGTAATTGGTTCCGGAACTTTGCGTCTCAAATTGCGTAGGCCACACCCACTTCCGTTTTTAATGTAAACTCCCCCCACTTTAACTTTCACGTAAACTAACGAAACTCGCTACACATATCTAGGGTGCGGAGACAAACCAAAAAGCCTCTTGGAGGTGTATAAAATAACGTACAGGAAGCCGGCCATTTTGAATTTGGCGTCGGAAAAACGCGATTTATCGCGTTTTTCGTCCTCCGCACGAAATCTATCTTCTCCCAGGGACTTTATCCGTACGACTCGAAATTCGTCGGGTAGCGTCTCGAGACATGGGCAATTCAAAGTTATCACGGAACTTTTTTTCTTTCGCACGGCGTAGCCGTGATTTGGCGCCAAAGTTCGCATTCGCTCGATGCTAGGCGATCCCTCGCCATGGAACACGATGATGTCATAACACCAACTGACATACTCAGAACGCCACCAAACTTCACGTGATGGTTAACACTGCGGCCTTGAACAGCTCTACGTCAAATGTGATGTTACTTAATATGGCGTTACCATGGCAACGCATCCCTCGCCATAAAACACGGTGTCGCTGTAACTCCAATGGACACGGTCCCATCGTCCCCCAATCTTTACTTTTATATCACCGGTCCATGCCTCAACAGCTCTACGCGAAATCTGAGATCTCACCGTATGCCGTTTCCATGGCAATGCATCCCACGCCGTAAAACACGATGTTGTCTTAATTCAATGGAAAACCTTCCAAACTGCACCAGACTTCAGATGACAGTTAATGGTCCGGCCCTCAACAGCACTATGCCAATTATGGGATGTCATCATATGCCGTTTCCATGGCAACGCATTCCTCGCCATAAAACACGATGTCGCTGTAAATCCAATCGACACGGTCCCATCGTCCCACAATCTTCACTTTTATATCACTGGTCCATGCCTCAACAGCTCTAGGTGAAATCTGAGATCTCATCGTATGCCGTTTCCATGGCAACGAATCACTCGCCGTAAAACACGACGTTGTCTTAAGTCAATGGAAAACCTTCCAAACTGCACCAGACTTCAGATGACAGTTAATGGTCCATGACTCAACAGCTCTACGCAAAATATGAGATCTCACCGTATGCCGTTTCCATGGCAACGCATCCCACGCCGTAAAACACGATGTTGTCTTAATTCAATGGAAAATGCTCCAAACTGCACCAGACTTCAGATGACAGTTAATGGTCCGGCCCTCAACACATTCATATGACAAAAGTGAGTTTTCCTCAAAAGCTGTTGCCATGGCAACGAATCCCTCGCCATAAAACACGATGTTGTCTTAATTCAATGGAAAAGGTTCAAAACGGCACCAGACTTCAGATGACAGTTAATGGTCCGGCCCTCAACAGCTCTACGTGAAATCTGAGATCTCACCGTATGCCGTTTCCATGGCAACGCATTCCTCGCCATAAACCACGGTGTCGCTGTAAATCCAATCGACGTGGTCCCATCGTCCCCCAATCTTCACTTTTATATCACTGGTCCATGACTCAACAGCTCTACGTCAAATCTGAGATCTCACCGTATGCCGTTTCCATGGCAATGCATCCCACGCCGTAAAACACGATGTTGTCTTAATTCAATGGAAAACCTTCCAAACTGCACCAGACTTCAGATGACAGTTAATGGTCCGGCCCTCAACAGCACTATGCCAATTATGGGATGTCATCATATGCCGTTTCCATGGCAACGCATCACTCACCATAAAACACGATGTTGTCTTAATTCAATGGAAAAGCTTCCAAACGGCACCAGACTTCAGATGACAGTTAATGGTCCGGCCCTCAACAGCTCTACGTGAAATCTGAGATCTCACCGTATGCCGTTTCCATGGCAACGAATCCCTCACCAAAAAACACGAAGTTGTCTTAATTCAATGGAAAATGGTCCAAACTGCACCAGACTTCAGATCATGGCTACTAGTCCGGCCCTGAACACATCTAAGCGTATTATGGGGTGTCATCAAATGCCGTTGCCATGGCAGTAGATCACTCGCCATCAAACACAATGTTTACTGTATGATACTGCTGTAACTCCCATTTACGTTGTCCGATCGGCCTGAAACTTCCCACGTTTGCCAACGGCCGAGTCCGGAAAACTCCTGCATGATACCTCGACATGCGGACAACAGCCTGCGGAGCGTCGAAGACCCGCTCAACGCTGCTTGCAGCTTTAATTATTATTGTTATTATTATTATCTATTATTTATCTTTATATTACAGATTCCACACCCAATTACTATTGCATGTTCAATTCACTACCCTGGAGAGCCAATAAAGTTATTAAAGTTAGAACAGCCTGTTCTTCCTCGCAGACAGTCACCGTCACCTTCTCACAGAGGACAGGACTAGCTGCAGCACCACCCGTATATTTTCGCACGCCGTGTTCTCAACCCGGCTCTGGGGGCCGGAAAACTGGCTGCCCATTCACTCTCCTATCCTGCATGGGGTTCAGTTTCGGCATGTGTTTATGTGTGGGTACAAATAAAAGTTATTTCCGTTGGGGATAAATAAGAGTATATGTTGTATCTTCAACAAACTTGGTACAGTGAAGGTAAAGAGTAATGAAAAGAATAAAGACTATAACTAAAAAAGTAGAGAAACAGGAGAACTGCTTAAACAGCCAGCCACTCACGGTGGCGTCAACACGTTGTACATGATAGGCTAAGGGACGGGACATCGCTAAGTGGTCGACCAATCACAACAGAGCCGGCCAGCTAACCAATCAGAGCAGACTGGGCTCTGGTTTCAGACAGAGGGTGAAAAGAGGCAGTATGAGAAAAATAAAGATATTTTTCAACCTTAAAGCATGGAGACATGTCCCAGTGAAGACAACATACTAATACCAACCTGAACATGAACAGAATATGTCATCTGTGTTGTTGTCCTCAGTCTCTGGTTGTAAATGTCTCTCTGGATCTGAGTTCCTGGCTGGTTCTGGTCCTCCACAGTCCTCTCCATCAGCTTCTGTTTCCAGGTGTTCAGTTTGTCTTTGATGAAGCTGAGAGGACTGAGGTTTCTCTTCATCATCTTCACTCTTCACAGGGACAGGAGTGAATGTGGACTTGGTGATATCAGCCTCCTCCAGCCCTTGAAGCTGCTCTCCCTCCTGACTGATCCAGAGTTCCTCCTGCTCCTCTTTAATGTGTGGGGGGGGCTCTGGGTCCTCCTGGTCCAGACTGGAGCTCCACTCCTGCTGCTCAGGTGGAACCTCTTCTTTAACCACCACCAGCTGCTGGACGTCTGCAGGAAACAGGAAACACATATTCAGAGAAACTGTAGAGTATTAGAATTTAAAATCTAACCACGAGTAACACTTCATTAACTTTGCAGCCCTTATCCATTCCTTATTTTAAATGCTTGCCTATTGATTTGCTAAGTCCCGCCCACTCTGTGTTTCTGTTGGCTCGATTGTCTGTCAATTACACCTTTTTTCCAGATGCTCTGGAGAGCTTCAGGACAACAGGTGAGTTAGTACTGTATCTGATCTAAATCATAGTAACATTGCTTAGTTTGGACAGGGAGAGCGTGGGGGGCGAAGTTTCTACTTTTCTGTTTGCAGATATGAGTTTCTACATGTAGGTTTGAGTCATTCATGCTAATGTTAGTTAGCAGGGTTAGCTCTGTATGTACTGGCTGCATGAGATGTTGGTCTGTTTTTAGTGATTGTTTTAGACAGTTGGAGGGGGCTCCTATTAAGGCACTGCTAGCTGTACCCTTCATTCAACACTTAGACAATAGGCAGGAGTTGTACTGTTGAGGAACCGGTGACCTACGTTTGCATGGCATAACTACACCGTAGTTGTGTATATGATATGACAATATCACCAAGGGGGGTCCTGTGTGGGTGGCAGCTCCTTCCCCAGCAGACCCAGTCCTCCAGAATTGTCCTAATCACAGAGTAAATGAGAAAAATTAAAATTAAATTGATCTAATTATACACAGGGTGGCAAAATTATGATTGCAAAATGTAACTCAGCATTACAGACAAAACAATATTTAAAATGACGTACTGTTTTAGTTTAAAAAAGAAAAGAGAAGTGACAGTCACAGCTAGCATCCCTTTGACAGCACTCCAAAAACTTAAATCAAGCAAAAGTCTTCTGTCCATTTCTGATGGTCTTATTATTATGGGATAAGGATACATATTTCCTGGATTATTCGAACCACGCTCCGAAGCCTCGGCGCAGTACTTAAAGGTAGGGTAGGTAAGAATGGAGAAACCAGAAAGAAATCTGCCCCTTCCTTCAGACTTCCTCAGAGAGCCCCTCCTCCAACACAAACGAACGCGCACATGACCAATGAATTACCTACCCCACCTTTAACATCACTATAGATTATGTTCCAAACCACATCAAGCATTATTTCTGAAACAGTATGGAGCTCAAACGCTTTCTCTCTTGCGGGTTTAGCACAAGGTGAGTTCCTTTAATATCCACACATACTCCCTCCAGTACAGCGTTAGCTCTCAGTGTTAGCGATGCTTGCTAATGTAATCAGACCATATTACTCCCAAAACACGTTGCGCATTATTCTGATACAGCGATGTTTCTGATAGGTTGGGGCGGAACGTTATTCAGTGTTTACCACTAGAACAGTGCCATTGTATTTATTAGTATTGTCACGATACCAACATTTTTGTTCCGATACCAAGTCAAGAATTGCGATTTCTTAAAAAAGGGGAAACTGTCTTAAATGTAATTATTGTGCTTTATTTCAAACCTGGAAAAATGTTTCAGTCATAACACAAACCTTTGAACAATGAGAATAATAAATACAATTAATTAAAGCAATGGCATTCAAGGTAAAATGACAAGTGCTATGATATTAGGGTCATGCCGAGTCAGATCGCTATCTCCTTAAGAGAGAGAGAGAGGGGTGTGGCGTGTGTGTGTGTGTGTGTGTGTGTGTGTGTGTGTGTGTGTGTGTGTGTGTGTCAGAGTTCCCGTTAGCCGGTAATTACCGGACTATGACCGGTAAAATATGCTGAAGACCGGCAAATCTAAATCTCTCCGGTCAAAATAATTTCCCTTTAGCGCAATACCGCATCAGTTGCGCCACTTATGTGACAGACGAGAAGAGTACGTGACAGACGAGAAGAGTACGTGACAGACGAGAAGAGTACGTGACAGACGAGAAGAGTCCGTGACAGACGAGAAGAGTCCGTGACAGACGAGAAGAGTACGTGACAGACGAGAAGAGTACGTGACAGACGAGAAGAGTACGTGACAGACGAGAAGAGTACGTGACAGACGAGAAGAGTCCGTGACAGACGAGAAGAGTACGTGACAGACGAGAAGAGTACGTGACAGACGAGAAGAGTACGTGACAGACGAGAAGAGTCCGTGACAGACAAGAAGAGTACGTGACAGACAAGAAGAGTACGTGATAGACAAGAATAATCAATTCTAATGTCTAACACGTGGAGAAAGAGATGGGTTGATTGTGCGTTGATCTGTTGGTAATGCCTCGGGGTTCCGGTGGGCATGTAAACAAATGCATAATGCTGCGCTATACTTTGTGGCCTCACCCGGTTGCATAGCAACGCTTATTGTTTAGGTGTCTTTTAATAAGCAGGTAGTCATATCATTAGCTAGAACTAGCTAGATCTGATCGATATGGACATAAACGCGAGTAAAGTCTAATCTGACGGGAGAGAGAGATCGGCTGCTGCTGATCACCTGCAGCGGTGAGCAGAGCAACACACACTTCAGGTTAGAATATCACGTAGCTATTTTATTGACCTCTCAAACTACCTAAACTAGTTATAGATATGTTTAGTTTTACTGTCGGGTCACTCATTACTGGATCCGCGAGCTGCATGATACTGATGGGCTGTCAGGAGAAGGAGAGAGCGCTCCGTTTATTATGCCCGTGTTTTTGTAAGTTACTGAACACTTTTGAATAATGTAGTTAATCTACTATAATTAGTTTGTTTAATGTCGAATCATATCAATTTGTTTTAAAGCTCAATAAATAACAAAGAAGACCTTTGACCGGCACTTTTCTACTTTTGTCCGGAAGATTTAAACTTTAACGGACATGTTGACCGGCAAAGAAATATTCTAATGGGAACTCTGGTGTGTGTGTGTATGTGTATGTGTATGTGTATGTGTATGTGTATGTGTATGTGTATGTGTATGTGTGTGTGTGTGTGTGTGTGTGTGTGTGTGTGTTTTGAGGCGAACGAAGCAGCAGCAAAATAGGTCTGTCGAGTGTCTTCAAAGTTAGATCTGTAAGAAAGACTTCGGAGTTGATTTCAATATTAAATAGTAAACGGCAGCACGTGCAACTTCACTAACGTCACGTGTTTATCCGTATTATTTAAATGCAACATGTTAATGCCCCTGGGTTTGACGTTAGGTATTAAAGGGGACCTATCATGCAAAATGCACTTTTGTACGTCTTTTCTACATGAATATGTGTCCCCGGTGTTCCAGGGAACTCACCAAGTGTCAGAAAACACAACCCTCTCTATTTTCCTCCATACCCAAATCTCTAAAAAAGGGGCTGCAACGGATCTGATAAAAACTGATCCAGATTTGAACACTTTACTGACGTCGAAATTTCTCGCTACGAAGTACGCCGGGCTCGGTAGATTTCCAAGTATGCTGGACATTGGAACAGTACTTCGGCGGCACTCGATGACGTAGTATGCTTGAAATAGTGGCTCTGCAGCAGCTTTACTCGCGATTGAGAAACACCCTGTATGAGCCAGCCAAGGCGGAATATTACTGCCAAAAGTCGCGTGACTTTTGGCAGTAATATTCCGCCGTGAGAAGAAAAAGGTTTGTAGTTGTAAAAAAAAGTTGTGTACTTGTAAAACCTATGCTGAATTTGTCTCTGAAACATGATTTATTAGAACAATGTTATGTGTTTGTTTGATAGATACGTTTTTTCTTTGCAAAACTAAATGCATTAGTTTGTAGATGGTGTTTTGTATTTGCAAACCACATTGTGTTGAGGCATTTGTAAAACCTGTTTAGTTTGTTTGTGGAGTTATGGCAGGAAATTAGCTCCATACTCGCCTACATGAGATGTTGAAATCTCGCGGGACAAAGACGCCCGCAGCCTTGAGAGCGAGGCGCGGCGAAGCCGCGCCGTTTCTCTCCACGGGCTGCAGAAGCGAAATGCTTGATGGGAAACGACTCGCTGGTATATCGAGCTGAGCGCTCATTGGTGGGTTTTACCCTGTGCTGGAGATGAAACTCTCCAATTGGCTCGGCAAAAGTTTGTTGTTGTTTTGTGTCAGTTTTACGTCGCCACTTACATTCACATTTTTCATCATTGTTCCACAATGTTTATCATCATTAAATGAATATCTATATATTTTATACTATACTTGCACTGCTTACCGTTTTCATACTTTATATATCTTAGCATATTCATACACACTGCTCATACTGCTCACAGGCTACTGTGTATATCTCGTGTATTCATACCCCTCACTGTTTATTCATCATTCAACTCATTCTATATTTTATTCTGTAGATTGTGTACATTACTTTTCACTTTACTGCTTGTTGCACTCCTGGTTAGAAGCTAAACTGCATTTCGTTGTCTCAGTACCTGTAATCTGTGCCATAACAATAAAGTTGAATCTAATCTTGAGCAGGAACAAATGTATTTACTTCGTACATATCTGACATTAACGATTAAACACATTTGTGCATTCTTTATAAATGCAAACTGGTCAAGACCACTGACGGAAGTAGTTTTGAAAAGTAATAAGTGGTTCTGTCTTTGTAATGTAGGATTCAACCCCCCTTGTATTGATTTGTTTTAAAATGAACAGACACTTGAGTCATTCATTTGTAGTGATATAATAATTATGGGATTTCTATTGCATCCACTTCATCTGCAACAAAGAACGCCAACGCAATTTCCGCCATTGCAAACAGAGTCAAGCCGACTCCGACCTTTCCGACGAGCTTTTTGAGACCTCCCCCGGCTGCAATCGGCTATTCTCGTCAACTTTCGAGGCGAGACGCAGCTCATCTCAAACAAGCCTAATGTTTTTTTTTATGATTGGCCGACGTGACGTGACCAGTATGCGTGCGCAGCCAGAGAGTTGATTGAAGTGCACCTTCCTACCAGACATGAATGTCGACGTCTCCGGTATAACAATAAACGTTGAATATAGCACGTCGTAGTCTGGAGTATTGATTGTAAATACAGTACGAGAACAAAACACCCAATACTCACAATTACCAGTTATTAAAGTAAATTAAACCCAATACTCACAATTATCAGTTATTAAAGTAAATTAAACCCGATACTCACATTTATCAGTTACTCCTCACGTGCTGCTTTCTCTCTGAGACCGACCGACATTTTCTTTGTTTGCTTGTCACTGGCGCGCATTGCATCCTGGGATACGGTGGGCTACGAGGAAGAGGACTCTTCGGGAAAAGAAGAAGGCCGCTCTCCAACCCGCCCCTCCCCCCTCTCTTCTGTCTGTCGCAGAATCAGAAGTCCTTTATTGGTCCCACAGAGGGACATTAACATGGGTACAGCAACAGTGGAGATAGATGCTGCTCCCAGACCGTAGCGGAGGAATACAGGGGAGGACTCTCTGCAGTCTTCCCGGACTGAAGCACCAGGCTTCGGCTTCAATAACCCACTCTGAAATGAGGCAGACAGGCAGGCTGTTCCTTGGGAGGCCGCTGTGTTTCCTCAGGACTTTGTTGCTAACTGGAGACAGACTGATCACTGCTGCTACTCCCGCTCTCTTCCGGACACACACTACGCTCGCTCACTCTCGCTCTACACATGCACGCGCCACATGCACGCGCCACACCTCCCTCTCTCTCTTAAAGGGATAGGCGACCCCACTCTGCATCACCCTGCTATTATAAGATAGATAGATAGATAGATGGATAGATGGATAGATGGATGGATTGATGGATAGATAGAAAGATAGATAGATGGATAGATAGATAGATAGATAGATAGATAGATAGATAGATAGATAGATAGATTGATTGATTGATTGATTGATAGATAGATAGATTGATTGATAGATTGATTGATAGATAGATAGATAGATAGATAGATAGATAGATAGATAGATAGAGGCTGTTCAGTAGAGCTGATGTTACTCTAGCTATCCTGAAGGTGGCAGCAGAGGAGGATATATATTGTTTTAATCTCTCTAAATATTTATACAAATAGAAATAAAGCAATGAAGTCATTAAATAAATAAAATAACAAATAAAATGATGTTGTTTCACATGGAAGTTGGTCACCAAGAAGAAAGGACAAAGGGAAAATGCCATTTGAGGGGAGGGCTCACCAACTATTTGATATTTAAAATAATATTTGTAATCCTCTTTTCATACAACTTTATTTATATTTTGAGGACAAGTTTATCCAGCAAAACAAGTGCATGTATTATTTACATGTTGGATTGTTTATTTCTAGTCTTTTCATTTCTCTAATGTACAATGTCTTGTCTTTTTATGCTGCCACGCAAACATTCCCCTAATTGGGATGAATAAAGTACTTCTTATCTCATCTTATGTGATCTTAGTAACACGCAGGCCCGTTCCTCTTTGACTGCTATTCGGTGCTTTTATTAACATGTATTGTAGTTTTAGAGGTGAAGGTGCTGCTATTTGGATGTTGCTATTTGCTTGTAGATGTGTCTTTACAACTGTTGATGTGTTGTTTGTAATGGTGGTGCATGTTGTTCTCTCTTCTGAGGCTGAACATATGCAGGGTTGGGAGGGTTACTTTGTAAATGTAATCAGTTACTGATTACTGAATACATGGCTCTGAAAGTAATCCGAATACAGTTACAGTTACGTGTCTTAAAAAAGTAACATAATCAGATTACTTTTAGATTACTTTTGGATTACTTTCTTTTTCCATCATGCAGCTTGGGATGTGAGGAGTGAGGGACACGGCTTAGAACGGGCGTGTCGCCTTCTGTCCTGCCAGTGTTGGCAGGACATGAATTAAAATGTCGAACTCGGACTTCATTTTAAGGACATGTCGGCCAGGGGTGTGGAGCTATATTTGTTTAAGCACCGGATTGGCAAAACAGGAGAGTGTGTGCACCAGTCTGCCTTGATCTATGAATTCATGTCTGCGACTCTCACAGTATCTGCTGCCCACAGCTGGTTTATAAAACCTCCTTCACTTCATGAAATGGCTGCAGCACCAGGAGGCAGCGGGAGGGTTAACTCAGCCTCTGAGAAGAGGAGCGCGCACCGCCTTCACTGTGCTTACCTTCAGAAAGAATCATTAGAAAGGCTAAAGAGCGACCCCAGGCTTCGTGTGATTCTGTTTATTTGTACCTTACTTTGACCATCCGTTCGCTGTTATTGATCATTGTGGAGAGCAGGCAGACGTTTTGTTTTGTATTATAGCAGCTATCGGATGGAATCAATACATGGGCTGCACAGGTTGTCATGTCCGACTATCACAAGTAGAATCATAATGACAAATACGCCGGTAAAATGTGCCTGTAGAAAACGGCTTATGCCACAATAGGATAGCAACAAGTTGTCAAGATAGTCAGTTTAGCTTCGGTTGCTATGCTAACATCACCCATTTTATACCAGAGACACTTTCATAACAGCGTTGTGATGCCAAACAGCGGGCAGCACTGCAGCTTTCGGTAAATGCCGCTGAACACATTAATAAACAATGAACCACGGCACTCTGGAGAAAAGTATAAGGGTCGATAAGTAGTTATGTAATTTAATCTGGCTTCGTATGATTAAAGCAACACGATCATCGACCCGACGCCGTTGGGGAGAAAATCAGCGACGTAAACGGTGACGTCATGACGCAGCAGCGGCAGCACCAGTCGGGCTCTGAGCGGTGTGAACAAAACGGGGACTGAAAATAAAAAACGGTTCCGAACCAGAAAAGCTCTAGCACGGAGCTAGGACGGGAACCGCGTTGGTGTGAAAGGGGCACTAGAGTAGGTGATGGCACAACACAGGGAGAGTTACAGGGATTTAAAAGACAACTAAGAGTGGTAAAAAGGATCTGGGGCCTATTTCTGTTGTTGGACACAAGATTTGAAATAAAATGTGTTTTTGCACATTTATGCTCCCCAACGCCGAGTTATTTTAAGTCGAGGCTAAAAACACTACTTTTTACAGCTGCTTACCCAGAAGTCTTTTAACTTGTTTTAACACTTACCGTATTTACAAGGTTGTTTTTAAACTATTCTGTATCTCTTTTATGCATGTATTTTATGAATCTGTTATTCCACTATGTTTTATTCATTTTATTGTGTTCTTTTCTGCTGTGTTATTGTTGGTAAAACACTGAATGTACTCCTCCAACATGAGAGTAACATGATAACAAAGGTATCCCAACTGTAGCTGTGTGCATGACAGGATGTATGATTACCTAGAAGAGCATCAGGACTGTTTGAGGCATATGATAGCTATGTGATTAACATGATGATTCAGCCTCTATGGAGATAGACATATGACAAGCATGCTCATTTCTGACGTGGAGCTAATCTGAAGTAAACATTGAATACTGCTTTCTATTCCTCCATCTTGTGACTGTGTAACTCCCTCTCTTGGATATCAGCATGTGAAGGACACTGTTCAGGAACTAGTTGATGCTCTGTATGTGATGACTACTTCCATTCTGGAGAGGATCACAAATACATGGATCCTGAGATTGAAGATCAAGCTGGTGACGAGTGATTATTAACATTTGTAAGTATTCAGAAAAAGTCATATTTTTTAAATTTGAGAAAAATTCAGATTTTTGAGGAAAAATTCAGATTTTTGAGGAAAATTTCAGATATTTTAGGAAAAAAACAACATCTTGAGAAAAGGTCAGAATCTAGATAGAAAGTCAGAATTTTTGAGATTTTAAGAAAAAATCCGAATTTTGAGATTTTGAAAAAAATCCGAATTTTGAGAAAAAAGTCCACATTTTGAGTTTTGAGAAAAAAATTCAGAATTTTGAGAAAAAAATCAGAATTTGAGAAAAAGTCAGATTTTTTCAGAAAAAAACCAACATTTTCAGAAAAAACTGAGTATTTTGTACATGACAGGATGTATGATTACCGACAAGAACCTGTATTCCTCCATCTTGTGACTGTGTAACTCCCTCTCTTGGATATCAGCATGTGAAGGACACTGTTCAGGAACTAGTTGATGCTCTGTATGTGATGACTCCTTCCATTCTGGAGAGGATCACAAATACATGGATCCTGAGATTGAAGATCAAGCTGGTGACGAGTGATTATTAACATTTGTAAGTATTCAGAAAAAGTCCGAATCTTTTAGATTTTTGAGAACTCAGAATATTTGAGAAAAAGTCCGAATATTTGAGAAAAAGTCCGAATTTTGAGATTTTTGGAAAAATACCAACAAATTCTCTTTTTTTATTTTGACTTCCATTCTTGAGAGGATAATAAATACATGGATCCTGAGATTGAAGCTCAAGCAGGTGACCAGTGATATTTTTCTAACACTTATTATTAAGTGTTAATGATGATGTAAAGCACTTTGAATTGCCTCTGTGTCTGAAAATGTGCTATATAAATAAACGTACCTTACCTCTTTGAAGCGTCTTTGAGCACCTGATAAAGCGCTTGATAAATAATATGTATTATTATTATTTATTTATTTTTAACAATGTTTGTATTAATATTTTATACAAAGAAAACACATATATACAGTGTACAGTTCCACACATACAGAAGTGCACTTCTCAAGGTCAAATTACACTGAGGTACAGGTGCAAACAAAAACACAAATACAAAATAGAAAACACACTACCCTTCATACAAAGACACATCTTACATACATTTCAAAATTGAATGACATTTCCAGCCACTTTGGTTCAATTCAAGGCAGTTTCATGGAACATAGTCTGAACTCAAAATAATCATATTATGAGGTTTACACTCGTCAGTATTCAATCATCCTCACCATCTGCTAGCTCCATACCTTCCACAAACAGATTCAATGGTTTCAAGAATCATGTCAAAAAAGTCTTGTTTTTTTTTTAGTATATATGTTATTCTGTCCAGAGGAAAAGTTGTTCACATTTGCCGGACCCAATATGTGACGCTTGGTCTGCTGGTCTTTTTCCAAAATAATGCAATCGATTTTTTTTGCATGCAAAAGACATATCTATGATTATTTGCATTTTCACAAACAATGAAATAGAGTCCCCCTTTCCTCCATATATGTTATACATAGATCTGGAATGTTACTATTATATTTATGTAATTTGGCTGGTGTGATATATGTTCTCATTATCCATCTATATTGTAACATTTTTAACCTTGTGTTGACTGATTGGGATTGAGCCTTCTTGCATATTGATTCCCAGTCCTTTGAGGAGATCTCTGTTCCCAGATCTATACTCCATGCATTTTGTTTATCTTCTGAGTTCTCTCGTGAATTGGACATTATTCAATTGTATAGCTCTGATGTAGCACTTTTGCTTAGGCTATCCTTAGTCTTAATTTATTCCAATTCCATCTGGTCCTGCTTTCATGCCGTCAATAGCGATTCTTATTTCTTCCTCATTAAGATCTGCCTCTAGCATCTCTGCAAACTCCTTAGAAATAGATGGAATATTCAGCCTGTCAATAAATGTTTTTTGGGTCTGGGGGTCATATTTGACTTGGGATTGATACAGATTTTCATAATATTTCCTAAATTCCCTGTTTATTTCCGTAGGGTCTATTCTCGTGTCATCGTTATTGTTAATAATGGAAGTGATGTTCTTCCTTGTTTCAAGCTGTTTGATCTGCCACGCTAAAAGTTTGTAAGGTTTTCCCCCATGCTCGTAGAATGTTTGGTTGAGCCTAAGCATACTGGATGCTGCCCTGGCTGCCGATCATTTATTATATTCGGCTAAGAGCAATAGTTCTTTTTCTACTTCAGGGTTTTTTTCTCCTAAATACCTCGTCTTGAAGAGTTTTAATTTTGGACTCTAGCTTCTGTCTTTTCTGGCGTAACTCTCTGGATTCGGATGAAGTATAACTAATTATGTCCTCTCAAAAAGCCTTGAAGGCATCCCACTTGATACATGCCGTGTGTAGTATTATCCCTGAAATAATTATCTATCTCTGTCCCCACATATTTAATGAATTCTTCATTTTGTAGCTGGGTGGATCTCTAAAAAGGTTCTCGTCCATACCATACAACATATTCCATGGTCTGATATGAATATACTGCCATAGTAACAGTCCTGTATTTTTTAACATAACATTGCAGAGATTAAAAAGTCATCTATCCGCGAATATGTCTGAAAAGTACTTGAGTGAGACGAGTAAGTAATATCGTTAGGTGTCAGGTGTCTCCAGATGTCTAACAAATGTAACTCTTGAATGAAATGTTGAATAGTTGTTGTACTTCTAGTGTGAGTTTGATCAACACCTGTAGATCGGTCTCTGGTTGGATCTAGTGTACAGTTCCAGTCCCCTGCAATTATATTCTCCTGGGAGAGATGCAAGTGTAAGAAATACATTTGTAAGAAAGCCAGGCTCATCTGTATTGGGGCCGTACATGTTAACCACATTCAAGGTAACTGAGAGCAGTGATCCCTGGATAACCAAATATCTACCAAATGTATCCTTAATTACATTAGAAACTTGAAAGGGCACTGATTTGTGGATAAGAGTCATGACTCCCCTTGCTTGTGATGTAAATGACGATGCATCAATGCTCCCCAGGTTGCTTCACTAGCGGCCTTCAGCTCGTCTGCATTGTTGGCTCTCCAAATTCTGACTATTATCTCAAAATGTCTAACTTTTTTCTGCAAATCTCACAATTACTTTTTTCTCCCAATTCTGACTTTTACTAAAATGCAGAATTTTTCAGAAAAGTTCCAAAACTCTGACTTTTAAGAAAACCTCAGAATTTAACTTAAAAAAAAGTTTGACTTTTTTTCTCAAAATCCTCACTTTCAGAAAAATCTCATAATTCTGACTTTTTTCTGCAAATCTCATATTACATTTTCCCCCAGATTCCCAATTTTTCTCTCCAAAATCTGACTTTTTTTCTGAAAAATGTCAGATGATAGAAAGGCAACAGTAACTCAAATAACCACTTCTTACAGCCAAGTTATGCAGAAGACCATTTCTGCTGCGACATTCAGGCGGTAGGGTCAGAAGACATGAGAGCATGGATCCATCCTGCCTTGTATCAACGGTTCAAGCTGGAGGTGGTGGTGTAACGGTGGGGGGGATATTTTCTTGGCATACTTTGGGCCGCTTACGATCATCATTTAAAAGCCACAGCCTACCTGAGTGTTGTTTCTGACCATGTCCATCCAAGCTCCCCCTAGAGGCGAGAGGCCTCCAATCATCCCATTTTTTATTTGTCTTATTATTTTGGTGGGGATTGAAAATTGAGTGTGTGTACAAATCAAGTTATACCTACTTAATTATTTTGCGAATACAAATATTATTGATTTGTTTGCTGAATGGTTGTATCATGCCACGTGACACACAGTTCATCCTCCCTCTCTCTCTCTTCCTCCCTCTGCCTCTTCTTCTGGCTGCTGTCCATATATCTGTTGTTGTTGTAAAAAGTTCTTACATGAAGCCTTTTTCTAGTGTTTACATCCTGATTGCTGAGTCAACAGTAAAGCAGTTTTGGTGTTTATGGTCATAAGGCATGTGTATTTGTTGATTGGTTCATGTGTGTAGCATTTTTAATGGCAGTGTTTTGAAAATGGCAAACAAGTGAATATGTCAGATTTCTGTGTCTTACTTAGAGAACCGTGTGCAGTGTTTTGCAAAAAGTGCCAAGTTGAATTGCACATTTGGTGCAGAGCTGAGAATGTGTTTAGAGTTTGGGAGATTTGAGCTGAGGTTTTTCTCTTTGAGGGTGAGATTAAATCATTTTGCTTCATGTGAGATTTTAGTTTGTTAGCAACTGAAAAAAACTGTAATTGTGTTTTAGGGGAACGATATGTAAGGAAATATGTCAAATAATAGGGTATGAGGTTTCTAAAAGTAGTTTGGTACTCTATTTATGTAAATTCACTGAGGAAATTATTGCAAGTGACAGATAGTTGATCAAAATTATGCTAATATCCAGCAAGAAAGCTTTCACTAGGACATCTGGGGTGAGGACGCACCACCAACGAAAAACCAATGGGCAACAATCATGGAAGAAATCTTTTTGATGGAACAACTGATTCATAAATTGAGATTACAAGAAACTAAACAGAAAGTGGGAACATTGGACTCAAAACAAAGACATTTGACTGGAACAATAGCTAACAGATACATGTATCTTCAAGACTATAATAACATGAAGACATATCTCTAGTCTTTTATTTATTTCTTTGTTTGTTGTTGCCTTGCTGGCCTTTCGTTGCATGATTATTATGTTGTTTGTAAAGAGCATGTTAATGCCATGTATATTGGGACAATTAAGATATACATTTAAACATATATATTTTACATTGTGAGTTTAAATCCAGTTATCCAACGAGAAGCCACATCAAAGAAGAGTGCACTGGCAACAACAGACTGGCAGAAGATCTCCAACATCAGACTGGTAGAAGATCACCAACAACAGACTGGTAGAAGATCTCCAACAACAGACTGGTAGAAGATCTCCAACAACAGACTGGTAGAAGATCTCCAACAACAGACTGGTAGAAGATCTCCAACAACAGACTGGTAGCAGATCTCCAACAACAGACTGGTAGAAGATCACCAACAACAGACTGGTAGAAGATCTCCAACAACAGACTGGTAGCAGATCTCCAACAACAGACTGGTAGAAGATCACCAACAACAGACTGGTAGAAGATCTCCAACAACAGACTGGTAGCAGATCTCCAACAACAGACTGGTAGAAGATCTCCAACAACAGACTGGTAGAAGATCTCCAACAACAGACTGGTAGCAGATCTCCAACAACAGACTGATAGAAGATCTCCAACAACAGACTGATAGAAGATCTCCAACAACAGACTGGTAGCAGATCTCCAACAACAGACTTGTAGCAGATCTCCAACAACAGACTGGTAGAAAGATCTCCAACAACAGACTGATAGAAGATCTCCAACATCAGACTGGTAGAAGATCTCCAACAACAGACTGGTAGAAGATCTCCAACAACAGACTGGTAGAAGATCTCCAACAACAGACTGGTAGAAGATCTCCAACAACAGACTGGTAGGGGATCTCCAACAACAGACTGGTAGCAGATCTCCAACAACTTGCTGCAGCGATCCCGTAGGATTCTAGTACCTGTAGTGAGGTGTGACCCTACCTAAGTGTCAGTGTGGCAGTCGTGCAATCTTACCCTAAATCAGAAGAGGACAGCGCAGAATTCATTTAGGTTACCCCAGTCCAAATGGGTGGGATGGTTTTATTTGAAGAAATGGTCCACACTCTAACACAGTTTTTTACTTTATCTGGTTACAATGGGACAGTTATACAATGTCTTACTCTCTGGTATTAATTATGAATTTAACGGTTTACATGTTTTCCTTTTTGTTAAAACTCCCTGCATATCTCCAGAGGCATTTCCTCACGATGACAGCGGGTAATACGACCTAGGGAGAGATTCCCAGTTAAGAACCCTGAGACCTGTTTTCCTCTCTCAGCTGCTGCTTTTATATCATACCAGCAGAAGCAGAAGCGAATACACACCAACAGACCCATGTATGTGGAGAAGAGTCATTGCTTCCTGGACATGTCCAGACTTGCCTCAAAAACTAAACTAAAGCTTACAGTAATATCCCATTGAGTCAGGGGCCTCCTGCTGTGAGAGTAAGGGTGTCTTCCCTCTGCTGAATAGTGACACCTTTAGTGATAAACTATATCAGACCTTACACTCTTTCATGTCAGTTTACCAAACCGTGTACATTTAGTATATAAGTAAAGAGCTTCGTGACATATCATGCATTTTACATTGTGGATTATATTAATGTTCGTTTTAATTATATAACCCAATATGGAAACCTCCTCAGTCTCTGGTTGTACATGTTGCCGGTTCTGGTCCTCCACAGTCCTCTCCATCAGCTTCTGTTTCTACATCTTCTGTTTGAAGAGGCTGTGAGGACTTACCCTCACATTCATGGTATTTCAGCGTAAATTGCGAAGGGAACATTCTGTTACAATATCTGCAGCATAATTTCGGCCTTTTGTGGACTTTCATATGTTTAGTCAGAGATCTTCTCCATGCAAATTCTTTACCACAAAGTGAGCAACTAAACTAGGTTTGTCTCGTGTGGATCCTCATGTGTTGTACTAAAGCCTCGCTGTCACTGAAACCTGAGTTACACACAGAGCAGCAGAAAGGTTTCTCCCCAAACTGACCAGGCATTTGAGAACTTTCAAGATTGGAAAAAGCGATACCACAAAGTGAGCCATCATTCGGTTTCAGACTTTTCTGAATTCTGCTGGTAACCGGCAGCTGGTGCTTTCGGTCTATTACTGTTCCACACTGAGAGCTGTCGAACAGTGGGTTAGAAGTGTGACAATGCGAGGGCTCGCCGACACACTCGTGGTTCAAGAGCTGCGACTCCAGCAGGAAACTTTTCTCACTGACTGCACAACTGGGTGGTTTCTCCTCTGTGTGGACACATATGTGCCTGGTCAGATTTCCTTCTGTTGCAAACCATTTACCACAACATGAGCAACTGAATGGTTTCTCTCTTGTGGGAGATGTTTTGTGCGTCAGCTGACTGTCCTCATATTGATCTTTACGCTCTGAGGGACTGAATGGATTCTCGCTGATGGAAACGTCCTCAGTTTCCAAATGGTTTGGACCTGAACGAGGATGCCTGGTCTGTGTGGAAAAACAAACACCATCACCAGTCCTGGGATCTGTTTGAACCTGGTCATCAGAGCAGCTGACTGCTGTCTTACTGGTCATATATCCTTTACTTATAGATACTTTTTTATTTCTTCGATAAGTGAACCCAGACTGATGCTGCCTGGTATCTTTCCAAAACTCAATGTCAACATTGTCATCAGGTTCTAGAGATGGTTCGCCACCTTTATCAGTCTCTGGTTGTAAATGTCTCTCTGGATCTGAGTTCCTGGCTGGTTCTGGTCCTCCACATTCCTCTCCATCAGCTTCTGTTTCCATATGTTCATGTTGTCTTTGATGAAGCTGTGAGGACTGACGACCAACACACTTATGATTTGTGACCGAACGACTCCAAGTAAATCTTAAGTCACAAACACTGCAGCTGAATGGTTTCTCTCCTGTGTGGACTCTCATGTGTAATTTTAAATTTCCTCTCTGTGCAAAAGATTTCATACAAATTGAGCAGCTGAATGTTTTATTTTCTGTGTGGATTCTCATGTGTACTTTTAAACTTCCTCTCTGTGCAAAAGATTTCATACAAATTGAGCAGCTGAATGGTTTCTCTCCTGTGTGGATTCTCATGTGTTCCTTTACATTTCCTCTCTGTTTAAAAGATTTCATACAAATTGAGCAGCTGAATGGTTTCTCTCCTGTGTGGATTCTCATGTGGTCCTTTAAACTTCCTCTTACTGCAAAAGATTTCATACAAATTGAGCAGCTGAATGGTTTCTCTCCTGTGTGGACTCTCATGTGTCTATTTAAAAATCCTCTTACTGCAAAAGATTTCATACAAATTGAGCAGCTGAATGTTTTCTCTCCTGTGTGGATTCTCATGTGTACTTTTAAACTTCCTCTCCGTGTAAAAGATTTCTCACAGACTGAGCAGCTGAATGGTTTCTCTCCTGCACTACGTCTTGATTCACTGACAGAGTCTTGTTTATTTCTCTGAGAGTTTGAATCTGGTTCTCTGGTCTCCTTCCAATCAGCACTGTCTTCAGTGTCTTCAGAAGAGTCTCCAGGGTTGTCCTCAGTCTCTGGTTGTAAATGTCTCTCTGGATCTGAGTTCCTGGCTGGTTCTGGTCCTCCACAGTCCTCTCCATCAGCTTCTGTTTCCAGGTGTTCAGCTGAGCTGCTGGCTGGAGGCTCTGCCTCTCTGTTCTCCTCAGTTTGATGAAGCTGTGAGGACTGACGAGCAACACACTTATGGATTTTTACCTTATGACCCCAGGTGAATCTCTTGTCACAAACACTGCAGCTGAATGGTTTCTCTCCTGTGTGGTTTCTCATGTGGCACTTTAAATTTCCTCTCTGTGTAAAAGATTTCTCACAGACTGAGCAGCTGAACGGTTTCTCTCCTGTGTGGATTCTCATGTGGCACTTTAAATTTCCTCTCCATTTAAAAGATTTCTCACAGACTGAGCAGCTGAATGTTTTCTCTTCTGAATCACTGACAGAGTCTTGTTCATTTCTCTGAGAGTTTGAACCTGGTTCTCTGGTCTCCTTCCAATCAGCACTGTCTTCAGTGTCTTCAGAAGAGTCTCCAGGGTTGTCCTCAGTCTCTGGTTGTAAATGTCTCTCTGGATCTGAGTTCCTGGCTGGTTCAGGTCCTCCACAGTCCTCTCCCTCAGCTTCTGTTTCCAGGTGTTCAGTTTGTCTTTGATGAAGCTGAGAGGACTGAGGTTTCTCTTCATCATCTTCACTCTTCACAGGGACAGGAGTGAATGTGAACTTGATGATATCAGCCTCCTCCAGCCCTTGAAGCTGCTCTCCCTCCTGACTGCTCCAGAGTTCCTCCTGTTCCTCTTTAATGTGTGGGGGGGGCTCTGGGTCCTCCTGGTCCAGACTGGAGCTCCACTCCTGCTGCTCAGGGGGAACCTCTTCTTTAACCACCACCAGCTGCTGGACGTCTGCAGGAAACAGGAAACACATATTCAGAGAAACTGTAGAGTATAAGAATTGAAAATCTAACCACGAGTAACACTTCATTAACTTTGCAGCCCTTATTCATTCCTTATTTTAAATGCTTGCCTATTGATTTGCTAAGTCCCGCCCACTCTGTGTTTCTGTTGGCTCGATTGTCTGTCAATTACACCTTTTTTCCAGATGCTCTGGAGAGCTTCAGGACAACAGGTGAGTTAGTACTGTAGCTGATCTAAATCATAGTAACAGTGCTTAGTTTGGACAGGGAGAGCGTGGGGGCGAAGTTTCTACTTTTCTGTTTGCAGATATGAGTTTCTACATGTAGGTTTGAGTCATTCATGCTAATGTTAGTTAGCAGGGTTAGCTCTGTATGTACTGGCTGCATGAGATGTTGGTCTGTTTTTAGTGATTGTTTTAGACAGTTGGAGGGGGCTCCTATTAAGGCACTGCTAGCTGTGCCCTTCATTCAACACGTAGAAAATAGGCAGGAGTTGTACTGTTGAGGAACCGGTGACCTACGTTTGCATGGCATAACTATACCGTAGTTGTGTATATGATATGACAATATCACCAAGGGGGGTCCTGTGTGGGTGGCAGCTCCTTCCCCAGCAGACCCAGTCCTCCAGAATTGTCCTAATCACAGAGTAAATGAGAAAAAAAAAAAATTAATTGATCTAATTATACACAGGGTGGCAAAATTATGATTGCAAAATGTAACTCAGCATTACAGACAAAACCATATTTAAAATGACGTACTGTTTTAGTTTAAAAAAGAAAAGAGAAGTGACAGTCACAGCTAGCATCCCTTTGACAGCACTCCAAAAACTTAAATCAAGCAAAAGTCTTCTGTCCATTTCTGATGGTCTTATTATTATGGGATAAGGATACATATTTCCTGGATTATTCGAACCACGCTCCGAAGCCTCGGCACAGTACTTAAAGGTAGGGTAGGTAAGAATGGAGAAACCAGCTCGAGTGCGCTAGAATTTGAAAGAACACAACCGAAAGAAATCGGCCCCTTCCTTCAGACTTCCTCACAGAGCCCCTCCTCCAACACAAACAAACGCGCACATGACCAATGAATTACCTACCCCACCTTTAACATCAGTATAGATTATGTTCCAAACCACATCAAGCATTATTTCTGAAACAGTATGGAGCTCAAACGCTTTCTCTCTTGCGGGTTTAGCACAAGGTGAGTTCCTTTAATATCCGGCTTCTTCACACATACTCCCTCCAGTACAGCGTTAGCTCTCAGTGTTAGCGATGCTTGCTAATGTAATCAGACCATATTACTCCCAAAACACGTTGCGCATTATTCTGATACAGCGATGTTTCTGATAGGTTGGGGCGGAACGTTTATTCAGTGTTTACCACGAGAACAGTGCCATTGTATGTATTAGTATTGTCACGATACCAACATTTTAGTTTCGATACCAAGTCAAGAATTGCGATTTCTTAAAAAAGGGGAAACTGTCTTAAATGTCATTATTGTGCTTTATTTCAAACCTGGAAAAATGTTTCAGTCACAACACAAACCTTTGAACAATGAGAATAATAAATACAATTAATTAAAGCAATGGCATTCAAGGTAAAATGACAAGTGCTATGATATTAGGGTCATGCCGAGTCAGATCGCTATCTCCTTAAGAGAGAGAGAGAGGGGTGTGTGTGTGTGTGTGTGTGTGTGTGTGTGTGTGTGTGTGTGTGTGTGTGTGTGTGTGTGTGTGTGTGTGTGTCAGAGTTCCCGTTAGCCGGTAATTACCGGACTATGACCGGTAAAATATGCTGAAGACCGGCAAATCTAAATCTCTCCGGTCAAAATAATTTCCCTTTAGCGCAATACCGCATCAGTTGCGCCACTTATGTGACAGACGAGAAGAGTCTGTGACAGACGAGAAGAGTACGTGACAGACGAGAAGAGTAAGTGACAGACAAGAAGAGTCTGTGACAGACAAGAAGAGTACGTGACAGACAAGAAGAGTACGTGACAGACAAGAAGAGTACGTGACAGACAAGAAGAGTACGTGACAGACAAGAAGAGTACGTGACAGACAAGAAGAGTACGTGACAGACAAGAAGAGTCTGTGACAGACAAGAAGAGTACGTGACAGACAAGAAGAGTCTGTGACAGACAAGAAGAGTACGTGACAGACAAGAAGAGTACGTGACAGACAAGAAGAGTACGTGACAGACAAGAAGAGTACGTGACAGACAAAATAATACGTGACAGACAAGAAGAGTACGTGACAGACAAGAAGAGTCTGTGACAGACAAGAAGAGTACGTGACAGACAAGAAGAGTGCGTGACAGACAAGAAGAGTGCGTGACAGACAAGAAGAGTGCGTGACAGACAAGAAGAGTGCGTGACAGACAAGAAGAGTGCGTGACAGACAAGAAGAGTGCGTGACAGACAAGAAGAGTACGTGACAGACAAGAAGAGTCTGTGACAGACAAGAAGAGTCTGTGACAGACAAGAAGAGTGTGTGACAGACAAGAAGAGTACGTGACAGACAAGAAGAGTACGTGACAGACAAGAAGAGTACGTGACAGACAAGAAGAGTACGTGACAGACAAGAAGAGTACGTGATAGACAAGAATAATCAATTCTAATGTCTACACTGAACGTGGAGAAAGAGATGGGTTGATTGTGCGTTGATCTGTTGGTAATGCCTCTGGGTTCCGGTGGGCATGTAAACAAATGCATAATGCTGCACTATACTTTGTGGCCTCACCCGGTTGCATAGCAACGCTTATTGTTTAGGTGTCTTTTAATAAGCAGGTAGTCATATCATTAGCTAGAACTAGCTAGATCTGATCGATATGGACATAAACGCGAGTAAAGTCTAATCTGACGGGAGAGAGAGATCGGCTGCTGCTGATCACCTGCAGCGGCGAGCAGAGCAACACACACTTCAGGTTAGAACATCACACGTAGCTATTTTAATGACCTCTCAAACTACCTAAACTAGTTATAGATATGTTTAGTTTTACTGTCGGGTCACTCATTACTGGATCCGCGAGCTGCATGATACTGACGGGCTGTCAGGAGAAGGAGAGAGCGCTCCGTTTATTATTCCCGTGTTTTTGTAAGTTACTGTACACTTTTGAATAATGTAGTTAATCTACTATAATTAGTTTGTTTAATGTCAAATCATATCAATTTGTTTTAAAGCTCAATAAATAACAAAGAAGACCTTTGACCGGCACTTTTCTACTTTTGTCCGGAAGATTTAAACTTTAACGGACATGTTGACCGGCAAAGAAATATTCTAATGGGAACTCTGGTGTGTGTGTGTGTGTGTGTGTGTGTGTGTGTGTGTGTGTGTGTGTGTGTGTGTGTGTGTGTGTGTGTGTGTGTGTGTGTGTGTGTGTGTGTGTGTGTGTGTGTGTGTGTGTGTGTGTGTTTTGAGGCGAACGAAGCAGCAGCAAAATAGGTCTGTCGAGTGTCTTCAAAGTTAGATCTGTAAGAAAGACCGTAATAAATTCAACGGTCCCCAAAGAAGAGCTCGCCGTTCTGCCTTATTTCAAAGTGGGTTATTGAACCCGAAGTTTGTTGCTTCGGGCCTGGAAGACTGCAGAGAGTCATCCCCTGTTTTCCTCGACTACGGTCTGGGAGCCGACAGGAAAGTTTGTATCAACTAAAATAGCAGCATCATCTGAAACAACAAACACAGTCTCTGAGAGGAGCTGACAGGCTGCAGGGAGTGGAAGCAGAGCGCTGAACACACACAGGAAATACGGCTCTTATTAAAACAACGTCAGTCTTAAAGTACCGATACTAATGAAATGGAGGAATCGTAACATTTTTAACAGCAGGGTATTGCGATACCTTTCTAATATTGGTGCACCGTGCAACACTTGTATGTATTATATATATATATATATAACAACTCTACTCTAAGTCCCTCTTGTAAACTGAATACACAGACACACAGCTGAGGGAGGGGATTCAGCTAGCCGACTGTATATGGAGACGATAGTTTGGGACGTGGGCACAACGTTGCCAGGAGTTCAATGTCAAGCAGCCCACTTTTTAGTAATGTCATCATGACCGCAGCAAATCTGGATCAGCTCCGTTGTACCCCAATTTTTACAGATGTGGGTATGTTTTATTTTCTGACATTTGTGAGTCTCCTTACACACCGCACATATTTATGTATACAAGACATCAAAAAGTGCATTTTGCATGATACCTTCAAGATAAGATGATAAAATCAAATGGATATACTTCAAATATAAGCACTTTTTTTTGCCCTACCTCCGAGCTGGATGAGCTGAAAGAAGAGGTTGTAATTGTGTCCCTAAGTTTAATAAACACTAAAACAATGCAACATGTCAGAGTCTAAAATAAAGAGCAAACGGCAGCAACATGTCAGATGTATCATCACACCGGACTGTGAGTTAAGCAGGTCCAATGTTTTCACTTTGATCTATTTATGCACTTAATATAAAGTATAAGTTATCCATAACAGAGTCGAGATCTCTGTCTGACATTAGGAAGCTTCCGAGTTGATTTCAATATAAAATAGTAAACGGCAGCACGTGCAACTTCACTAACGTCACGTGTTTATCCGTATTATTTAAATGCAACATGTTAATGCCCCTGGGTTTGACGTTAGGTATTAAAGGGGACCTATCATGCAAAATGCACTTTTGTACGTCTTTTCTACATGAATATGTGTCCCCGGTGTTCCAGGGAACTCACCAAGTGTCAGAAAACACAACCCTCTCTATTTTCCTCCATACCCAAATCTCTAAAAAAGGGGCTGCAACGGATCTGATAAAAACTGATCCAGATTTGAACACTTTACTGACGTCGACATTTCTCGCTACGAAGTACGCCGGGCTCGGTAGATTTCCAAGTATGCTGGACATTGGAACAGTACTTCGGCGGCACTCGATGACGTAGTATGCTTGAAATAGTGGCTCTGCAGCAGCTTTACTCGCGATTGAGAAACACCCTGTATGAGCCAGCCAAGGCGGAATATTACTGCCAAAAGTCACGTGACTTTTGGCA